GGACTGGGAGTTGGCTGCATTGACACTTGATGGGGCTGGAAGCCCTCGTAGATGGAAGCTGGTTGAAGCTTCTGGAAGTCGATAGACTTGTGGGAAGTGATGCCCTATTGGAAGGTGATGGAAGCTGGAAATGATTGTAGCTTGGAAGTCACGGACTGTTGGGTTCGACTGAACCTAGTTTTGGATGGTCTCGATGTCTAAGATGGAATGAGGAAATGTTGAGTTATTGTTTCCTCTTGTCATGGTGTTTTATACTCATGTGAGACTCGTGACTGCTGGTGTCTCATTCTGTGGTGACTGGTGCCGTCACTTGGTACACTTGGTACCGTCATTTGTGTTGCCGTAGCTGAGATGGGAAGTCAGGCTATAGGACACTTGGGAGAATTGTTGTAGTAGCGGAACTAGGAGGAAGTTCCTTGCCACATGATGCTTTGAGTTGGGGTAGAAGCCCTTGGAAGTTGGGATACTTGTAAGGAAGTATTCGGAGTAGTTGTGGATGCTCCAACTTGATGGGTCCACTGGACCTGGACGTGTCACGTCGATGATGGTTCGATGGTGATTTAGTCGGTAGATCCTTTGGTGGGTGATGCCACTGCTCTTACACTCCTGTGAGTTGGCTGTGGCAGTATTGTTCGTAGTTGTATCTTGTGCTTGATTTTTGTACTCATGTACTTCTGTTGTGTGTGAGACTAAGGTTGGTTGCAATCCTGTACAGTAGTTGCAGTGGAGCTGAGGTTTGCACCCTCTTGTTGTTTCTTTTGATCAGGTTGCCACTTGTGTGTCAAACTCTGTCTGCTCCAGCCATCCTGTGGCTTGGTTCCTTGTCTTGTGAACTCTTGAGTGGCTTGCTTGTACTAGCTACTCGTTCAACGTTCACTGTCGTCTGCTGTTGTTGCAGTTGCCGTTATTGTAGATGCAATTTGAATTTGGTTTGGTCGATTCATTGTAATCGGTTTGGTAGTGGTAGATACCGTTGTTGGCTGTTGTTGCCATCGATGCTGGCTGTTGATGTAGCCATTGATGGTTGTTGGCCCTGTAGTTGTGGCCATTGATGCCGCTGATGGTTTGCGGCATTGCCTATAAAGGCGGATGTTATGATGATTTTGTTTTAGGATTGTAGGTTTTGGATTTTGGGTACCACCACACTCCTGTGCACTTGCTGTGATCAAATAGCAAGGGCATAGACTTGTAATGGTATTGTTGTTACCTGCCTGGAGGCTGTTGGTGCCTCAGGTTTGCCTGTAATCAGGGAGGAAGTGCTGTGGCTTAGTTGCACAATACACATTCCAAAAATGGTAGTGGGAGGTGCTGTGGCTGGGATGCCACAATACACATTCCATGAAAGGGTAGGAGGTGCTGAGTGTAAACTCAATACACACTCCAAGGAAAATATTCAATGCAAGGGTAGGAGGTGCTGAGTGTAAACTCAATACACACTCCAAGGAAAATATTCAATGCACTCCTGTGCTTCCTATAGCTGCTGTTTTGCTTGCAACGCTCCAGTGGCTTGCACTGGATGTGCTGCACTCCGTACCGGTAGCTAGCTAGCTAGCTATCTGCATGTCATGCTCTGGTAACTGTACGGACTGGTAGTAGCTGGTAGGAGTTGGATTCGCCGTAATCCTCTTGCTGGTTCCGTATACGGAGAGATTTTGATCTGGCTCCGTACACTCCTGGAAAGATACCTTTTCGCAAAAGATACCTTTTCCCGTTCAGTGGCTCCTTCTGGTTGCCGCTGAACTGCTTGGCTTTGTTCTTTGACATTCCGTGCCGGAAACAGGCTGTCAGGTTTCCTCACAAAAAGCAAAGATTTGCTTTCTGCTGTCGGCACACTTCTTCTGCCGACTGTGGTTTTGCCGACAAGTTGATCGGCAACAGACACAATGGCACTGTTGCTGCTATCGGTATCGTCGACCTGTCAACTGTCTTCGTGTTGATAGCAGTAGCGACTGGCTGTCGCTGTTCTTTTTGTTGTTCGCTCGTAGCAGCGAACTCTTTTTTTTTGTTTTTTTTTTGTTGCCGTGGCGGCAGCTTCTGTTGCCGACACTCTTGTTGGCTGGAATTCGCAAATTCCACGGTCTGCCGATGAATGCAACTTGTTCTGCAGTTGCCTGATGGCTTCTGCTGCCTTGGTTCAATGTAGCAGTTGCGATGTCGTGTCCTATCGCTTAATCGTCTTGTTGTTGGCTGGTGGAATTTCGAAAATTCGCTCTTATCCAGCCTGTTGTTGCTGTCGTCCCTATCGGTATCAACAACTGATGGCTTCAACAGTAGCGGTAGTCACTGTTCTTGTTGTTGCTTGGTAGCGGTAGCGACCGGCTAGCAGTAGCAGTCGTTTGTTGTTCTTGTAGCAGCTGCCGTGGTTCGATCGTTCGTTGATGGGCTACTCTTGTTCTTGATGGTTTTTCTTTCAATTTTCCTTAAACGTGCCGATGGATGCAACTTGATACCTGTTGCATTCGAGGACTTGCACTCTTCAGGGCCTGTCAGTGACAGTATAGTAGCTCACTTCCGTGTATGACAGTCCTTCCGTAGGACCTGTCGTTGCCGTGCTAGCGGCCTGGTAATTCGGCTTGTCGTGCCGGATTTTTCGTCGCACCTCAGCTCTATCAGCACCGATTTGATGCCTTGATAGTGCGTCTAAAGGAACTCCCACGGGAGTACCTCTGTGGTAATTCTTGTTGGAGTTTGATATCTAACTCCTCTTCCGTGGCAACACATCGTGTCGCTCCTCTTGGCTTCGCTTGGCTCCGTACAGTAGCTTTGCTCCGTCCAGTAGCCTTGGCTTCAGCTCGTCGGAAGCCTTGTTTCCTTGTTGGACTCGTCGTGGTAGCTAGTAAGATAGGTTGGCACCACTCTTGCTGTTGCCGTAGCGTGCGGATGATAGATGAGTTCTCTTGTAGTTGGCTTTGGTACTGGTATTCCTGTAGTATCTCCAGTCATACGATTGCTCGTGGTTCGAAGTCTCACTCCTGTGAGCTTGTCTTTGTGGCAACCGTTGTCGCCACTCCTGTGAGCTCGCTTTTGGCTCACTCCTGGTAACTTGGTTGCTTGCGAGCGCTCTGGTTTACTCACTCCAGCGAGCTGATCGCGCTTGTAGATCGGCTTCGTACGGTCACACCGGCCGCAGTATAGCCTTTCTGCTCACTCCTGTGAGCTTGTTCTTTGCTCCGATTGCTCCGGTAGCTGGTACAGTCGTACCGGCACGGACACTCGTCTTCTTGGCTCGTACTGTACGGTAGCCTCTGCTCCGCACAGTAGCCTTGTTGACTCAATCGGACGTAACTCACTCAATTCCTGTTGTATGGAGACGATTCAAACATGTAACTTGGTCAGTTCAGTCTCATCTTTCCATTAGTGTGCTCACTTTGGGCTGATTCGGTTATCTTCAGTAGGACCGATCGCTCCGGTGTAGTCAAATGCAGCACGGTATGATGCCTTTTTCCTGCAAGGCTGTTTGGATAGCCCTTATAGTGGGGCTCCAACACTATCTGCCTGTGCTGTTCAACAACTGTTTACCTTAGCATGTAGCTCATATAGGATTGACTTGATATCGATGTCGCCATTGACTCGAACTCGAGATGATAAACTTCTTGGAAATAGTGTTGGTTGCTAGTAACACTCTAGCTTAGTAAAGGTAAAATACTGTTTTACTGTTAAGCTATTTCCAAGAAGTGATCTTTCTCCATGTTTTCTGGGATTGATTCAACTTCAAAGGATATAGTGAAGGGGGTGACCATATAGATCAGTTAAACTCCCCATGTATGTAACTAGAGAATAGATATAGATATCCCCGCTAAACTAGATTGGGATAAACGACTAATTTGTATTGAAGTGTCTGTAATACAACCTCCAACATTCAGACCACATCTCAGCGAAGTCATCTGATTGCAGTCCTGAATTGAGGGTGGATATGTCCAGACGGTCTCTGTCAGCAGTGGTGCCAATGGAGGATGCCTCTGATGGATCCATGGCCACCCCATCAACAGCAGAGCGTTGGCCCCAGGGACCCTGAGGTGGATGCTGGCAATTTGGCACTTGGTAGCAAATTCCAGATTGTCAACCACCTCAAATTCTCGCTTGAACTGTTTGGTGTTTGCCAGTCGTTTCAGGTGGCGGTCAGCCCTGGATTCAAATACTTCTGTCTCAGGGTTGTACTTGAAGGCATCCTCTTGCTTCTGTCTGAAGGAGAGAGTGAACCAGTTCCAGGCACTTGGTCCCCAGTGTTTTGTCATGGCATGCCCAAACCTCTGGGACAGGGCTAAGCCTTCAGCATATCGGTACTTGTCGACAGGGATCAGCCAGGTGGTTGGGTCCTTGGTGGACTGGTCGAGGCCAATGAACACAGGCTGTTTTGGCCTGTTAGAGTTGCTATCAACCATAGATGTCACAGCTAAGTACAGTGTGGATGGGTCCTGTGGGGAAAGGGGCCCTGGGTTCCCAACAACCTTTTCAATGTAGATGACTTGGATGCTATCAACGATAACAAACTGTTTATCTACCAAGGAGGTGAAGACCTGATCCAGGGTTAAATCCTGGGTGGACAAGTACTTGTGGGAGCTACGGTCAGGTACCACTTGGAGTTTCTTGTGTTGGGGGTATCCAGATCGGCGTCCTGGGGCATAGATATTTGAGAGAAGGGAGAGCACTGAGTCATAGTGTTCTTCAGCACAGTGTACATGAACCGCCATTGGATTGGTGCCAGTTGGGTCCCACCGTTCATTCTGCTTCGTCTGTATCCGTTGGTAGATCAGTTCAATGGGATATTGCTTGTTGTCCTTGGACCCTTTGAGCTTGTAGAGAGGGTCCTGTCGTATGGCTTCACCTAGGTTGGTTCCATTGGTCCAGTATCCTGTTCCTTTGAGCCAGGCTACTGAGGCAGTTTTCGGGGCCTGGATGGGGCAAGTTCAAGTTTGAAGGTGATTCCAGTGTCCTCCTGCGATTCATCCCATCCGTCGAAGAAGGGTTGGAAAAGTTCCAAGAGTTCATCCCTTGGCATGTTATGGGCGATGAGAATCTTGGCACTTGAACTGATCAGCTTCTCTAGGGAATTTGGCTGATTTGGAGTGAAGGTGGATCCAGGCAGAATGGAAGCTAAGTGGACTTGCTGTGGGGTATCGCATGAGCTTGGCTTCGGTTTCATTGGAGAAGAGTTGTGTCAAGAAGTCCACCATAAGTTGTTGGGAGAGTTCCCCAATGACGCTTCCGCGGACCTGTGGGTCCTCAGGCAGTGGGGCATGGTTGGGGAAGTTTACTTTGAATAGGGTCTTGTGGGTTGGCTCTCCTGCAGGTGGTGTAGGGCTGTTGACTGGATCAGAGTTTGCTGTGGTTGAGGCGTTGGATTGACTGATGGGTTTGCCGGAGATGCCTCTCATCTTGAATGCGGCTGCTTTGGCTGGTTTTGCTGTGGTTTTACCAGATTTCTTGGATGTGTCAGGCTCCGCTGCTGGTGGCGATTGTGCTTTATCCTTGAGGGTGGCGTATGCTGGTCCAATGCTATTGTGTGCAAGGAGTTTGAGTCTGACCATGAATGTGTTTTCAGTAAACTTGGATAGTCTGGGGTCAAAACACGGGAACTCTTCAGGGGGTGTCATTGCCAGGCGTAGAAGGAGTTTGACCCCTTTTCCTTGGGCCCTAGGGTCGGGGTAGACATAGGTGTCACCACTGTGTCGTTTGATGGTGGTCTCCATGCCCTCCTTCAGGATAAAAGATCCCCATTCTTCAGGTGTTCTCCATAAGGATTTTTGAAGGTTCTGTTGGACGATGGGTGAGTTGGCCCAGATTCTGAAGACTGCTGCCACTTAAGGGTGGTTGACTCCTTGTGAGAGTTCCAGGGTGTTGAAAGGGAGGATCTTCTTGAGGTTGATCTCGCGAGTGATACTGTGCCAGAGTCTAGTGATTTCAGTCTTGAGGTCAAGGCATAGAGTGGAAACTTCTGAATGTCTTGGTCTTTGAAGGATGCTGGGGCTGGGGAGGGGGTTGATCCTGGGTTTCCTGGTTTGTTGGGTTGCTCAATGCTGTCCTGGGAGTCTGATTTGCCATTTGTGTCATTGTTCATAAGTGCAGCTGTGGCAGTGGCCTCCTCTTCTTCAGTGAGTTCATTGGGGTGTTCCTTTGTTGTGGTCCCTGTTTCCTCCAACTGTTCTTCAGGGTCCATCTCATTCTCTAAGCCAATCAAGATTGTGTTTTCTTTGTCTTTGGGCTTTCCGTTGGGCTTCTCACTTTCCAGGTTTGTTCTGGTCTGTGGAGTTACTTTGTTGGTCTGTTGTTGTAGGAGGTCATTGTCTTCTGGAACGGGGTCTTGGAGTGGGTTTTGGGTTGGGGCAAACTCTTTGATGAGCCCCTTAACAATCTTGTTTCCAAGTTTGGTGCTGCTTCCTATTATATCAGACCAGGACATATAGGCTGAAGGTGTTGTCCATGGGGGTGGATTTTTTGGTCTTGGCCTGTTGGTTGACATGTGTGGAGGCAGATCTGGGTCCTTCAGGTGTTGGTGGGTTATCTCTTTTCCTTCCAGCATGTCTAGGGGGGAAGAGAGGGTATTGGTGGATGCCTTTGTAGTGGGAGTTTGGGTGGGAGTCCCCCCTGCCTATGGCTGTGTACTTATCCTGGTCTACACGCCACTGAGCTGGGAGGGGAGAAGGATCATAGCATGGTTAGAATGGGGGCTGTCAACAAAAGACATCAACGCAACATGTATATTACCAAGGCCTACATTGCTTTTTTCCATGAGGGCAATGCATTCTTCGTCGGTAATAAGCTCCGGAAGGGTTGTATCAATCATTTGAAATGTCCTTGGTGGGTTTCCAACATCACCGGTGAATGGGATGAACTCGGAGAATTCGTTACTGCTGGGGGGCATGATCTCTCGAGTGGGCGGGGCAGCTTGCAAATTCTCATGGCGGGATGTGTCGGAGCAAATCTATGAGCTTTTCTTCCAGAAGGCTCAACTGTAGATACACAAGAGCTGGTAGGAGAGCTCTGTCTGATGGAGATCTCCTGCCACTGGTGATGATACCACTCAACCAGCACTTCCTTGGTTGGTTGAGGGGATGCTGATTTCCCTATCACGGGCCATACAGGAACTGGTCTACTGCAAGGCTATGGTGTACTCTCTGGGTTCACAGGTTACTATTCATTTACTATCTTTCTTACAATGCTAGCTAGATAGACCAAATACAACAATTCCTCGACAGGAACCCAACGACAGGATGGCTGCTTTTGGAGAGGCAATCCTCCATGTGGATCTCTTCTGGAGAGGCTTGTTGATGCCTATCATACCCAGGGTATACAGGCTGTATGCCATGCATACACTTGGTATCTAGGCTTGCCTCAGCAATACATACAGTGCTGGATGATAGCATTGCTGGCTGTACTCTTTGACTGTACACGGGTTTCAGCAATGATGTCACATAGCTAAGTCTGCACAGCTATGGCGCACCCAGTGGCGCATTCATGGATCCCCTTTTGGATCTTATCGATCAGGGTTATCCATGGAGGCATCAAGGAGCTTGCTGGTGTCTCCTTGCCAGAACATCAATGCCCTTAGAATTGGCCCAGACCCCAGTGTTTCGTCAGGATATCCGCTGGGTTGATCTCTCCTGGCATGTGATGGAAGGAGATGATGGCAGCAGCAATTGCTTCTCTGACAAAGTGGTAGGACAGGGCGTTGTTAGTTGCTCTAAGCTCTCTTCTAGTTTACTTGCTATTGAGATACTACTGAAAAAGTGGGTGGGCTCTGTATTTCATGGTATTGCTACGTGTTGAGCAGCAACACGCCTGGGGAACCCCCCGTCCGAGTTTCCACGCCCCGCAGCGTGGAAACTTGAACCCTGATGGGTTCTCGCAACTATGACCCTGATCATGGTTGCCGAGAGGACCATCTCACAAATTGCAAAATTAATTCCCGCGCTCCTCACCTACAACTCAAGTACATCTCTACATCTCACAGGTCATCACCTGTGTTCCGGAAATGGATACCCCACATGATGATGCACCGCATCAGCTCCTCGATGCCTCTCGAACAAGATTACCCTTAAGGCAACGACGCCCGTCCAAGACCACATTCGGCAGGATCGACAGCGGCAACCATGAATCACTAAAGCCAGCGACCTAGCCAAGATCAGCCATTGAACTGCCGATCGCAAGAAGGTTGTCTCTCTATCAGCTCACAATTCTTCATTCAGCCGACGCTGAAGGCAAGAACCTAGATTAGATTAATCTCTTGCGCCGGCATCAGGTTTCGTATCTTTTCGACCCTCACCATGGCCAGCTCTAATTTCTCGGATCTCGTCTCTCGTGCAGCGGCATGGGAGGTACATGCTCCTAACTACACTGATATCCTCACTTCTGTGGGCGGCGCCTCGAATGCAAATCGTGATGTTGCCTCTCGCGCTATGAGCCAATTTTGCCTTCGTTCACCTGTCACCTTTGGCTTCGTCCTCCAAAATGATGAAACGAATATCTACATTGGATACTCACTCTACGCCTACCCCGTGAATCCTAGCCAGGTTTCTCCTTACGACAATCTCTATGCTATCGTGGTGGGGAACGATCTTCGAAGCGCTATCACGGTGGTCCTTCCCATGTCAGCGTTCAAACGCACGGCTGACATAACCTGCCACAACATGACAATTATTGACCGAGGAACGATGTTCACCGCCGTGCCGGCTCCTGTGCTACACAGTGGCCCCCACGGCGGTGGTGTCGCGGACACTGATGTCTTCCGGGTCCGTCGTGTGATGCCTCTTCCGTCCTATCTCTCTGAAGCCGTCCTCGTGGCCCGTCCCGAAGGACAGTACAGTCTTCCCCAGTTCCGTGCGGAAGTCCTTAACCCCGAGATGACTCACACGGATCCTGCACGACAGGCTGCCATCGCCCCTTTGGTCCAATGGTTCCGCGCCTGTTGCACGTTGGTCGTGGGAGGTCACACGTCCACTAGTAATGCTGCTGCTAACGTGGCCGCGCCCATCAGCGCAAACGCGCTCCAACGAAGCACGAACTGGGAACTCTCACCCTACATGGCGGCGCTTGGCGCGGTAGGTCCAGGCCTGACCAACGCAACCTTCAACGAGGGAATCGCGAACCTACGTGATACACTGGAGGCCACCGTCGAACAACAACTCCAGTATGACCGTGAGAAGAGCAACAAAACCTTCACGGATAAAATTCGGGGTCGCCCTAGCCACTCGCGTCCACAACCTCTGCAACGTGGCCGATGACGCAAACCTTCCCGTCATTCACCGTCTGCTCGCGAAGTCCCCCAAAGGGAATGAACACGGAATCTTACAAGCTCAACTAGACGAACGCACTCAGGCTTCGGCACTACCCATCAACCTTGCGAACAAACCCTTGGTCACTGGACACATTCTGGATCGTGTCTTCCGCAAGTACTTCGTGAACGGTCTAGGGACCACCTTGGGTGAAGGCCTTTCCCCCTTCTCAGTGGTGTGCCAAGGCCATTCGGAAGCGAAGGCGGTCCAGGACTTGGCTGCTCGAGCGAAGTACGTTGAGAAGGGAGCCTCGGTCACCTTGGAAGATGCCATTGCCATCACTTCCACCGACATGAAGTTTCCCACCGATGGTCGCATTGCGGAGGAAAAGCTCTATGGTTTCTCCATCATGATAGATGTCTTCCATGGAGGAAACCATCCCGTCTCACGCTCGGAGCGTGATGTGGCCCTCTCGCTGGGATCCTACCTCCACACCATCCATGGCCTGCATGCTGACAACCGGAGTGTGGCGGTGGACTTGTGCGGTCGCATCCTTTTCGAGGTCCAACAAGATTACTTCCTGTGGGTCAACGAAGCTATCCTAAACCCAGGCGCTGCAGCCCCCAACTTTGGTGCGCTGACTAGACTCGTTCAGTCCTCCCGTGCCTCGTCCCTCGCTGAGCTCCCTGCTCACTGGTACTCGTTCTTCAAGCCCGCTCCCAAACCGCCGAGCAAGAAGCCTGCCGGAGCGAACCAACAGCGAGCGGGAGCACACCCAGTCACCAACGTCCACGGCGATGAAGACCTCTTGAAACGTTTCCAGGACTCGGGATTCCGCTCCATCACGGAAATGACCAAGGACCATCAGTACACCATTCCCAAGCACGGTGGTCAGGGCGTCTGTATGGCCTGGGCCCTCAAAGGCAGCTGCACCTCCGGATGCAAGCGCGCTGCCACCCACAAGCGCTACTCGGCGGCTAGGGTGCAGAAGCTCCATACTCCCCTCACGGACTGTGGAGTTGCTGACCCGCAGCCCTGAGTCTCCACGCCTGGACTGTTGGGGATTCGCGATTAGGGATTCAACCTGTACCTCTGTACTAGAATTTGATGCCAGTAGTAAAAGCTGGTAGCCCACACCCACTTTTTCAGTAGTATCTCAATAGACAACAGTAACAACTAAGAGAGCTTAGAGCAACTAACATACTACTGAAAAAGGCTGCTATCACGAATAGCAGTGGTCTACTATCGAGTCGAAGAGGAGTCTATCGAAGCAACGAAGCAGCCAAGGTAGCAGGAGCGAGTATCGGCCGACGCCGAAGACGAACGCCGATCGCGACGACGCGACGAGTAGAAGACCGTCAAGGAAGACGACCGATAGAGACCAAGCCTGTCGAAGGATCGACAGCAACAAGAGAAGACCGTCGACAACGACGACGGCATCGGTACAAGACCGAAGTGAAGAAGCCTGTCGAATGAACGACAGCAACGAGTGAAGATCCGAGGACGGAAAGAGAGGAGACTGCAGCCGCCGACGACGCGAGTATCGGTCGACGACGACGCAGCAGCAAGAGTTTCGTCGGTAGAATCCACAAGGATTACCGGCAAGGTTGCTTGGCGAGGAGAAAGCCAACAACAGCGCGAAAGCCATAGTGCCAGCGCAGGGACCAAGGACGGGTACCCAACCAAGGAAACAATCAGCAAGGAAACGGGTTTGGAACGGCAGCATACCGCACGAAGTGTGAAGCAATAGCGCCCGACCTTGCAAGATCCTTAGCAATAGTTTTAACACTCCCTAGCCAGGAGTATAATTTGAAGTTTATCGCCCCATAGCCATAAGACGAATAAGTAGTCGGACGAGAACTTAAAATAAAGAGCTAGCCAAATAAAAAAGAAAGAATTGAAATAGTCCACCTACCGTAGCATAGACAATGAGCGGTAGAGGTAAAGGACGAGGTGGCCGAGGAGGCGGCAAAGCACGAGGGCATGGAAGAACCAGCCCATCGTCGAACCAGCAGAAAGGTTCATGCAAAGCCCTCGACCAACATGTGTTTAACTTCGGTACAACTGGATCTGGAACGGCAGACCAGATGATACGCACATGGGAGAAGATCGTCATCCACGTTGAACAAACGATGGGTGACGACATGAGCAATGAGCTACGCAACCTGAAAAAGACAGTGTTGGTAGC